AGGTCGCAGATAAATTAGTCTGAGCTTCTATTCTTTCTATAATATTTTAAAAGCAGAATTGTACTTTATGTAAAATCACAATTAAATATTCAATAAAGATAGAGGCATGGCCTCACTATTAATATTAAAAAAAAAATAATAATATAACAGTTTAAAGTTAGCCCTAACTGCAAGTGTTAGATAACTATAGTGTGTTATATAAAACTAAGTTAGCTATATGCAGAAAGCTTTAGTAATAATGTTTCTAAGAATATACTGCATAAAATAAGATATAAGATCCTAAGAGTATAAGTAAGCATCTAGACCTTCTTGACTAATATATATATTAAAGATAATCTAGTGACATAGTTAGAGTTGTTAATAGAGTATCCTGCTCTGAAACACTTCAAAGTAAAATCCAACCCAACTTAGAGTAAGTTTAAATTTTTATTTTTAAGTTTGAAGCAACTTGGAGCAACTTAGAGTAACTATGAAGCAACCTGAAGCAAAATGCTAAAGTCTAATTTACTAAAGTAAGTTAAAAATTAGATCAACCCAATCTAACCCAAACTATTAACAACTCTAGACATAGTAAAGATTGCAATACAGAGAGTTTAAATAAGCAATGCCTTTAGTTGGATTGCAGGTATAGTAGTTAGTGTAAAACTATTAATGAACTACTTAAATTAGACACCAAAAGTATATATATAACTAGTATATAAAAGTAACTTTTTTGAAATCTTAATTATAAGTTCTTATATTTTAATTACTAAATAAAAAGTCTTAGTTTCAAAAAAGACTAGTTTAATAAAAAAAAAGAATATATACTAAACTATTTTATTTAAATTATTATAATTATCTATAATTAAAATAAGTATAAAATTAAATATTAATGAAAATAAGAGTTTAGAAAAAATTTTAACTACTACTATATTATAAAATATCTTCAAAACACAATCTATTTAAAGTTTTAATTCTTATCAATACACTTAAAATTATTTTATTTTTAATAAAAAAACTTATTAGACCTTTTATGTTTTATATATAGCTAATCTAATTTTATATACCTAAACTAATACTTATAATTATAGATATTCTGTTAAACTGTTACTAGTATATTATTTCTACTTTTGTAAAGTTTACTAAGAATTTAGTATTTATCTTTTTAACAACTTTCTCTTATTTTAAATCAAACTTTCTAAACTACTAATTCAAATAATCTAGTAAACTTGTTTTTAAGCTTTTGGTATACAATTAAGAATTTTTTTTTTAGTAGATTTTAGCAATTTGATTAATTATATACTCTTTTATATATATTTGTTATTAAGTTTATTTAACTTCTTTTAAGACTTTCATTAATTTGATAGTACTATTAAAAGTTTATACTATCTTTTTATTCAGAATTTCTAAACAAAATTTTATTTCTTTGATTTTTTGTCTTCTAAATTCAGTGATTTATTATAAATTTATACTAAAGTTTTATATAACACTAGTTTTAATATTCTTTTATATATATAATATTATACTTTATATAAATGTTAAAAGCTTTTATTTAAGATAGTATATTTAAAATTACAAATTTATTAATTTAACTAATTATTAAAAGACAATTTTATTATAATAAAAATATAATTTTCAAATTTTGTCATAGATAGAATTTAAATACTAAATCTGTTATTTAAAAATTAACAACTTACTAAGTATTTTAATGTTTTATTTTTATTTTTTTTGTATTAAAGTTCTTGTTTTTAAAAAAAGATTTTATTTAAATTTATAAAACATAAGTGCCTTCAAGAGCCTTCTTATATAGGAGTTTACAACTATATATATATTTTTAGTATTTAATTTAAGTAATTCACTTATATATTGCTATATAAATTCTATATTAGGTATTATTTCTATAAGATAACTATGAGTTTTGCTTATTTAAACTCTTTGCATATGTAATCTATTTTATATAAAAATATCTTCAGAGCACTGCTTTGTCTAAGTTTTTGATTCTTATTTATATTCTTAAAACTACTTTATTCTTAACAAAAAACTTACTAAAATTTAATATATCTTATATATAGTTAATCTAATTTTATATAATAATATACATAAGTTAAATGAATAAATAAAGAGTGAATAATAGGTAAATAATAGAAAAAAATTTGTTATTATTTTATTTTATATCTGCCAAATAATAATAGCATAACAGTAGCATAACAGCAAATAACAATAAAATAATAGAAGTTTGTTAGTATAAGTAATATAATAGTAATATAATAGCAAAATAATAAAACAGTTTTATCATTTTACTTTTAATCTTTGTAATAATAGAACTGTTCTATTATTTTACTTTTAGTCTTTGTAACTAAAAATAAAATAATAGAACTGTTTTATTATTTTATTTTTAGTCTTTGTAACTAAAAGTAAAATAATAAAACTGTTCTATTATTTTACTACTATGTTACTATTATGTTATTTATATTAACAAATCTTCTGTTATTTTACTATTATTCTGCTATTATGCTGCTATTATGCTATCATTATTTGGCAGATATAGAGTAGATAATAGCATATTTTTTTTCTGTTATTTATTTATTATTACTTTTTTATTTATTTATTTAACCTGTAATAGTTATTTAATATTTATAATTACAAAAGTTATTTGTTTAATTGCTATATTATACTATTTTTATTTTTATAAAATTTACTAGAATTCTGATATCTATTTTTCTAATAATCTATCTTTCTAATATCTTTTCTATTATCTTCTACTAACTATTAATTAAAATTAACAAACTCAAATAAGACTACTAATTCAGATAGCCTAATATGATATACTTCTGTATCTTTTTTTCTAGTAAATCTAGTAGACTAATTGACTATATGTTTCTTTATATATATTTTATATTTAGTTTATCTAATCTGTTTTTTAGAAATAATTTATAAAATTTAATTAGTTTAATAGTATTATTAAAAGTTTATGTTATCTTTTTATTTAAGAATTTTTAAATAGGTTTCTATTATTTTAGTTTTTATACTTAGTAGTTCTATTATAAATTTGTACTAAAATTTTATATAATACTAATAATTATTATTATTATTTTTTTTTAAATATTAATGATAAGAATAATTATTTCTTTATATATATATAATATTACATTTTGTATAAATGTTTCAAGTTTTAAATTACTAGATTTAATATACCTAAATTATAGTTTCATAAAACTAACTGATTAATAAAAAACAGTTATTATAATATAAATGTAATTTTTTTTTTTTTTAAAATATTAAGGTGAGTACTTGCTATCTAGGATTTTATTGATAGTATACTTGACTAATGGTTGCATTACAATCATAAAGAGCAACTATAGAAAGAGTGTATAACTAGTCACTTATACAACTTTAGTTATTATCTGATTTAAGTAATCTACCTAAAGGTTCTATACTAACTGTCATACCTGGAACCTGTTTATAAGTTTCCTATTTAACTACTCTGTTTCCGTATTCACCTATCTACCTCTGCCTACCAATGATCTCAACTGATGCCAGTGAAAATATGCCATGGCCACTAAGTATTTAAAGCAGTTCACTTACATAAGAAACCTTTGATTTTGTATTAAACCTTCCAGAATCTTCTGTATCCTATTCTTACAGCTGACCTGATATCGCTATATGGTATGCAAAGATGATCTTATATAATACAAAAGTAAAATGTTTATATTATCACTCATATATAAATAACAGGCACCATCGAAGTGATGCTATATCCAGTCTAGTGACATTGGTCACGATTGGAGGAAATTATTTTGGGTTTCCACTTATTGATCCTATAGGCAGAATATTGGTAACAGGAATGATTCTGAAGAATAGAATTGAAATTATGATATCATTATTAAGAGAATTGGTTGACATGAGAGTAAAAAATGTCATAAAGAAGTTGAAAAGGCTGTTTATGTTTGCATAACTCCATTTTTAGGGCATTGAACCAGATGTTATTGCATAAATCTGGTCCATTTTATTTGATTAATATGACTGTACAAACTTGAAAATTTCCAAGGCACAAAAGGATATTAAAAAAGAATGTAAGAGTGTCAAAGAAGTCTTGGTTAATTAGACACAAATGACATTAAATAATAAATGTTTTTAACATATACTGCTTTCTAAGTTTATATAATGAATTCTATAGCAAATTGCATATTTTTATTAACCTATTAATCAGAATAGTATATATGAGATTTAGATAACAAATGCATCAAGAAATATATCTTTATTTTTTAACTCTCTTTATTGACGAAAGAGGCAACACATTGACATTTGAATCTATTTTAGAATTTAAGTTATCATTTTGAACTGTAGATGATGCTTTTCTTTTGACATGCATTTGCAAATTATTAACTGGTGTATTATTAAGCTTTTGACCATCATTATGTGTTATGGTACTATTATTTACCGTAAATTTAATCACCGAACTGTCTGGATTAATTTTATCTTGTAGCCCAGTAAAATAACGACACCAATATGAAGTTGACTCAATTGCGGCCTCTTCAGAATGGAACTCTTGAGCAAAAAGTTCTCCGAGCGCCTGAATATACGTATGAGCACTAACAACCACACCACCAACTTCTTTCTCGAGTTCTTTCTTTATTCTCGTGTTAAAACTTTGATCAATGAAGGGTATTGTTTCTATATCCTGGCTTGCCAAACCTTGATCATCTTCTAAAGCAACATCAACCCAAAAGAAGCCGGCCTGCTTTCCGCCAGCAAATTCACCCCCAATAGATATTAACTCCCAAAAATTCTTCACTGTCAATGATGATTCCCTGGCAGTTTCTAACCACCTTGTCTTTGCGTCATCTTCAAACCTAGGAATAACTTTTATTGCTTCTTCAGTATCCGGATATGGATATCCATATTGCCAGAATAAATTTTCATGATTTTCCGCTTCATCGTTCACAATATCTTTGATAAATGTACGTGCAAGTTTTTCAGAAGACATTCCAGGAAAAAAATACCATCCTCGTTTCTTTAGAGTTTTTTCTTGTGCATTACACATCGTGTTGTCGTGTAAAAAAGTTCGTTGAAGAACATTTTTCCACCATTTTAGTAATTCAGAGTCACTTAATATGCGTTTCGTCGGATTTTTCTCTGAAAGGTGAAATAGATATTGGGGATGTGGCCGCGCAAAAATATTAAATTTGATTGTTTTACGTTTCAATAAAAGTTGCCTATTAACATTAGTCTCTTCTAAGTAGAATTTTATATAGGCGGTTAACAAATTTTTGGTAGGGGTGGAAGAACAAGGACGATATCCAGTAGTGTCTACTTTAGATATGTAGATATTAAGTAGATTTGTGTCAAAATCATGATATTCATAAATTTCTACACCGGTGACAAACACTTCTTTATCATTCGATGGAATTTTCTCTTTTAAAAGCAATAGTAACTGTCTTTCAAAGAGATTGGATTTGTTAGTGTTTGAGTCAGTGTTGGATATTTCAGGTAGAGTCAAAGATTCTTTGGGTATCAATTTAGTGGAAAGCGCGTATATAGTATAGGTATGTATACCGCAAACCGCTTGCTTTAGAGAGTTTGCTAGATAATCGATCAGACGCGTCGAGTTTAAATTGGTCGGTTCGTCTGTCAATTTTAAAGTAACGTTATTATATTCATTTAAGAACAATACGAAAATGAATATATACCTATTAAAAGCTATACCTGTAGCCGCATTTGAGTCGCCTGAAGCCATGTGAACCGTATTATGTAAAAAACCAAATTTCTCGTTAACTGGTAAGCTTATGTGACTACGTATTGGTGACTTTTTGTTTATTTTGCAGTTAAATTACCCAACATCAAAAAAATCATTACTCAGGTGGATCGACGGGTAACTCAATTGACTTTTCATAACGATGAGACTTTTGAATAGACACAGCTGGCTGTTTTTTTTTTTTTTTTTTATAAAATTTTAAACGATGACCCGGCCGGACTATTAAAACAATTAATTTTGCATTTTTATACAAGTTTATATATACTAAAAATACCGATGCGCATTTTACGAAGAATTTAAACAAAAAGTTTAATTAATTTAAATCAACTAAAATGTTTAGGTTACGTGACATGTACAAGTAGATAACAATCATGAATTTAATTTACGATGTTAGATATTATATGACAGTGTCATCGGGGTCATAGTTTTCATTTATCAATCTATATAAGTATGAAGGAGGATGACCTCCGCTAGCATACGTGAAAAAACCAGATATTAATTGAATTTATCAAAATCGACAGTTTAAAAATACGCATTGTAATAAACACGAGCAACTTACGTATTTGTAATAAAAAGGCTCACGAGTTCTGGCGAAACATAATCGTAATAAGGATTTAATAGCGTCACTTTATCTATTAAATCGCCTTTTATGTACAGAACAAATATTTGATGAGATATATTTAACACAAAAGTAATTGACTCGCATGTTGGGTGATGGCATTGCACATTTAGTTTTTTGCCTGTAAAATAATCGTAGCATCGAAATAGCTAAATATTGACTGTAGTTCATACTCCACTCACCTTCATTAAAACTTAACACTGGATCGGGAGCAACAAGATCATTAAATGAATCTTCATCATAAGGATAAAGTGGCGATAATTTATAAAGGCCAGTACAAACTACTACTGGTTTGGAATGATGTTTAGCAGCTGTAGCTACCATTTGAGCTCCGCTAACAGATATCAATCCCCCATTCGCAAGTACTGAAATCAAATTTTAATCAGAACAGGTTTTAAAAAAGATGCTAAAATAAATGAATTACCTGCATGTGTGCCCATTATCACTTTATTCACTCTGGACATGACAGCAAAAATTGCTGAATCAGAGATCACAGTTGTGTCAATCCCTGCCTGTGACAAAGATAATGCCATTTCATGACCTAGATATCTGGTCGGATAATTTCACGTAAGTGAACGTGATACTATATAAAATCAAATAAATTTAAATTTAAATATGCATACGTTGGGAATGTTTCCGCAACTAAAACAGAAAACTTTCTTTTTTTGGCAGCAGTTTTCAAAAACATTTCCACAGTTCTTGATTTACCAACAGTCATGATAATTTCACTGAATTGTACACAAAACATTCAATGAAATTTAGTTATGTCTTAAACAAATACTATTATCCAAAACATGTATATTTCATACTTCGAATGAATATGTTCCATGGCCTGATCTACTATGTTTACATATGTGTTTTCCAATTCATTAATCATCTCTTGTATTTCGGATATGATTAATGGCTTTAAATGTATTCAACGAAAGTCAAAGATAATTTTGACTAAAATTTAAATGACAATATAAATTTGACAGATCAAAAGGATATTGGGTTGTTTACGATTAGAATCTATATATGTCTCTTTGGTGCCCACCGGAGGGCCATCTCCAAGTAAGTTTATCATAGAAGCAGCACTTAATCCACCATAAAAACTAAACGTTCTTGTTTTCTGGGATGATGATTTTGATGTAACTTCTTCCTCCTCTTCCTCATCTGTAATTGAACCTTTATCATCATCTTCAGCCGATAGATCATCAAAAGTGGAAACTTCAGAGTTATATACATCACGTATTAAGCATAATACGCGACGAACAATATTTCCTACGGCAAGTTCTAAAATTCAAAATTTTAATTTTAAAAGGTTCATTTCTGGAACATGAAATTCTTTCTCTCACGCACCTCGTGGTTGAGCCATAACTAACCTCTTTCCTATATCTTCCTTCACAAGTTTTATCAAAGTTTCAACGTGGTTCCACCGAGTAGTGGATACCACCTGTCGAAGTAGCATAGCTGTCTCAATAGAGACACACCAAGAACCGACTACTTGACTATTTTACGGTTGATAACATCAAAAGTTGAGAAAGGCAAGAGGGAAATATCGAAAAATACATAAATTTATTCGAAAATGTAAATACCGCCGGCGAAGCCTGTTTATAAGGCTTTCTATTTGTGCATTAAGATCGCGTGGACCTGTCATATTACATTCGTTTAATAGTGTCAAAGACGATGATCTATCGTATATGAGCCACACAGATTAATGCTAACTTTGTGATTGGTCAATCACATGAATCATTATAATTGGTAAGAAATTTTCTACATTATAAATCTAAAACCTGTCATATGTATAGGGTTCAGGTAGGGAGTGACATACTCCGGAGCAGCTCTGGAGTGAGCCCAACCCAAGTTGGAGTGAGTTGAAAATATGAAAAATATGTTGGAGTGAAACTGGAGCAGCTATAAGCAAATCTGAAGTGACTTCAGAGTGAACCCAACCCAAGTTGGTGCGGGTTGAGAAATATCTCAACCCAAACCACTCCAACCCAACCTATTAACAACCCTAGGTTCAGGGTACGGGTAAAACATTTGGCATGCCCATATGTAGGGTTGTTAATGGAGTGGCATGGGAGTGAACTGGAGCATTTCTAAGCAAACCTGGAGTGGCTCCGGAGTGAGCCCAATCCAAGCTGGAGTGGGTTGAAGAGTTGCTTAACTCAAATCAAACCAACCCAACCCATTAACAACACTACTCATATGGACATGTCATTAGGTTGAGGCATACCTATTATGCCGCTCATTTAAGATCATGTGATCAAATTCTATCACTAGCCAATCATTGTGTAGCATGCATCAACTTTGATTAGTTAATCATTAAATATAGTTACATATACACTGCATATAACAGTTAACTTTATAAAACAAATTGTTAAAGAATAGGGAAATTCTATTTTGACCCGGGTCAAAATAACTTCTAAAATTTAAGGTTAGTGTGGGCCGTTAATGTTGGCCGGGTTTTTATAATAAAAAACCTGGTCGGTATTAACATAATTTTGACTCACACTAATCCTAAATTTTAGAGGTTATTTTGACCTGGGTCAGAATAGAATTTTCTTAAAAGATATAGCACATGTACAAATTTTAAAATTATATTTTATATTTTATAATATAATTTGAGAAAAGGTTAAATAATTTAGAAGTTAGCAACAAAATACATTTTTGTTTTATAAGTTAAAATAATTTAGTATATAGAAGAGAGAACATTTTTAAAAAATAATTAATAACCTGAAAGATTTTACTTAGAAATGATTAATTTTTTTTTAATATTAAGATGATTTTTTTAGTCTTTTGACTTTTATTAATAACTTTTTTAATAATGTAATTTTATGAATCATTATAAAAAGAATGTACAATTAGTTACATATATAACTTTTTTATATTACTTATTTAAGAAATTTATTTAAAGATTTTTTATCAATTACTATATTTAACATTTTTGTTTAAATGTTTTATTTTAAACTTTTTGAATCTGCATCTGTATTAACATTACTAAGTTATGTTTAGGTTATTTTTTAATCTTAGAATTATTTTATTTTTAAAATAAAGCTTTTAGAGTCTTCTGTATCTATTTTTATAATTAATCTGATATCATTATAGCAGAATCAACACTTGCAATTAGGATTAGTTATTAAATTACTATGTCTTTGTAGAGTTTATTCAAACTTTAGTATTTACTTTACAGCATATCTAAATTACTTTAGTATACTTTTATTTGTTTTTAGATTTCTAATTCAAATAACTTAGTAAAACTACAAATAGTTTATTAATATATTAGATTAATTTAATATTTTTTTCTTTTGGTCTGTTTTGAAAGACTAGTTAGTAATACTCTTATTCAAAGATTTTTGTTTGTTTAAGTACTTCAATATTGGTATTTATTTTATAAGATTAATTTTTACAATAATATTATTGAAGATCTGTATTACTTTTAAAAATAAATATTTTATTATTTTTTTTTTTTTACTTTTACTAAGATTATTAGTTATTAGTAGTTATTGACTTTATTGTGATTTAATTATAATTATATAACTTGTACAAGATAAGTATGCAACTAGTTATACGTATATACAGCTTTTGGCTATTTATTTAAGTAATTTATCTGTAGATTCTATATTAACTGCTATATCTGTAATTAGCTAAGAAATTATCTAATTAAATACTTTTATATCTAATAAATAGTATATAAATTTCTTGTACATCTAAGTGCTATCTAATCTAACTTTGATCTCTCTGTCTATATATCTGTCAAGTTATATATATTTCAAAATATATCATCTAAGTATAGAGTTTCAGAAACTTTCTTGCTAACTAATTATCCATATTTAATTTTTTGTTAACAGGACTTGTTTTTATAAAGTTTACTCAAACCCTAATATCAACTTTATAACATATTTTTAGTACTTATAATATATCCTTACTTTATTTTTAAACTTCTAATTCAGATAGCTTAAAAGGACTGTAACTTGTTTCTGATATTTTAAAGTTTTGTCTTCTAAGATTCTTTTTTTTTAGTTCAAGACTTTTGGTAGCCTGGTTGGTAGTACCTTTTATTTAAAATTCTTGTCTATCCAATTCCTCTATATTGGTATTTATTTTTTATGTCTAGTCTTTATAATATATTATTAAAGATCTGTATTACCTTTCTATTTAAATCTTTTCAAATAGGTTCTAACTTCTCAGTTCTGCAAATTTACACAGCTATAAGAACTTATTTTGAGTTTGTATTACTCAATACTAGTTTGCATTTCTTTATATAACTCCAACATTACATTTTTCTGTATAATTTCAATATTGTACAGATGTCCTATAATCTGTTAGTTATACTGGTGTGACTATTATTACAAATATCTTAAACTAATTATTACCTAATAACAAGATAATGGGAAAAAGCATCCAACAAAAAATTGTAGAAACAGTTCTAAAAAGAAAAAGATGAATACAAATAGTCATAATAGGTAACTTTAACTATATAGTAAACAATATACTAGACAGACAACACCTACAATTAGCAAATTATAAAAGACTGCCAATTTTTAATTAGATGAAAAAACAGGATTTTAGTAACATGTACAGAGATATACATCTAATAAAACAATAGTATACATAGTCAAATGAAGAAGCAGCAACAAGAATTAACTATATATAGATGTCAGATAAACTAACAACTGGATTGCAAAAGCAGAAATTGATGAAGCAGAGAAAATTACAGAAAGTGATCACAAAATAATAAAAGCAAAAATATAGATTAAACATATAATAGTAGAAAAAAACAAAGCAAAGATTAAGAAAAAGAAACAGTCAAGGACATTATATTTGTATAATCAAGCAAAAACAGAAGATTGGAAAAACTATGCACAGGAGTTACAAAACTGACTAGAAGTCAAAAAAATCTTAAAAAAAATTCAAAAGAAAGAACAAAATGAGGACAAAAGAATAAATAAAATAAATAATACTTAGGATGTAATAGAAGAAGCAATTATCACAGCAGCAAGCAAGCATATACTTAAGAAGAAAATATACAACACAGTAACGAATAGAAGAAAAAGTTAAAAAGAATAGCAACTAGAAGAAAACTCAGTTAAAATACAAAGACTAATTAAATATGCAAAGACAAAAAAAAACCAAAAGGTAACAGAAGAAGAAGAAAGTAAAATAAATGAACAATTAAAAAAATTAGACAAGAAAATAGGTGCAAAACTACCAAAATTGCAGAGGCAATGATTAAATATATGAATAGAAGATATAAAAGATTGGAAAAAACTACTACAAAAAAGAATAGAAGCAAGTTTAAAAAAGACAAATAGAAGAAAATATAGATAAAAGATGTAAAATAATCAAGACAAACTAAGAAAAAATAATAACAAGTCTACTAAATAGACTATATAAGAAGATAGTACTTGACAGATTCATTAAGCAGAATGAAGAAGAAACAAGTTTGCTAACAAAATTAGAAAAAATCAAAAAAGAAGTAGAAGAACATTACAAGAAGTAGTTTAGAAAAAGAAATACTTAGAAGAGATGTCAAAAAAATAGAAAGAAATATACAGACCACAAAAGAATATAAAAGAAGAATAGTATACAAAAGTTGAACAAGAAATCAAAGAAAGAGAATGAGAAGAAGTATTAAAAAAACTAAAATAGAAACAGCTTCAGGTATATCAAGAATAAGCTATATTTTAATAAAATAAGCAGAAGAGAAAACACAAGAAGTATTTAGAAGCTTTGCAGATCTGTATTTAGAAAAGAAAGAGATACCAACTAAATGAAAAATAGCATAAGTGTATCCAATACCAAAAGATGTCAAATGAGAATATAGCTTAAACAATATATAACCAATAGCACTAATAGAAACATTTAGAAAAGTTATAACAAAGATGATAACAAAAAGGCTTGTCAGAGTGTTTATGAAAAAAGAAATACTTAGAGAACCAAACTATGCAGGTCTTTCAGATAACTCAACAGAACAACCAGTACACATCTTAAATATGATAATAGAAGAAGCAAAAGAAAAGAACAAAGAAGTATGAATACTTTTGCAAGATATAAAAAAAGCATTCAATTCAGTTCTACTTGAAAGTCTTGAACTAGTATTACGAAGGGTTAAGATATCTGAAAAAACAATAAAATATATTTTAAACTTGTTTTATAAATGACAATTAAAAATTATTACAGCCTATGGCCTAACAGAAGAAATAACAGCAGAAGAAGTATAGATTAAGGTGAAGTAATATCATCTTCAATATGGTGACTCTTCTATGATCCATTATTAGAAAGAGTACAAAAAGATGAAAGCTTAGGCTATACAGTAGAGCAACAAATAAAGAAAAATATGCAATGCAACAATAGTATAAGGTATTGTTAAGCAACAATTGCATATGCTAATGATACAATATAGATTGCAAATAGTAGACAGCAGCTAATAAAGATCTTAGAAATAGCAGAAGAGTTCTTCATAATGAATAATATAGAAATAAATGAAGTGAAGTCAAAGCTGCTAATAATGAACACAAAGTTGAAGAAGAAAGAAAGAGAGGTAATGTTTAGGAAAAGCAAAATAATAGAAGAACCAAGAATAAAATAGTTTGATCATTAGGAATATAGCTAAATAATAGAATGCATAAAATGTTAGTAAAGAAAAAGGTA